TATGGTATGATTTAATATATATTTCGAGTCAATTTGATAACTCATCACTTCTATGCTTTGTTCTTCTAATTCAGTTTCCATTCCAATGTTGGGTATTTGTATAACAAGATGATGGAAGAGAACAAGCTTGAGAAATTCAGATTTATGCAGCCAAGTCATGTAGGGCATCTGCCAACGAAAATAACAGATAAAAATTTTCTAGAAAAACAATTGGAAAGCAGGGCACGAGCTTTAGCAAACAGACTGATGGGCAATCCAAGTAATGCAACACTTTTGGTGCCATGTAATATAGGGTAAGAATGGTTACAATTATACTTTCAATTGCATATATTATTTTGTGTTGATGTAATATATAATTATATGTTTGTGCATAGTTTCCATTGGATTCTGACAGTTATCAACGTCACTAAGGACATAGTTTATGTGTGGGACCCTCTTACTCATCGCATTCGCGATGATGATTGGAAGCGTGTTGTAGAAATGTAAGTTTTTTTTTTAATTTCATTCTTTCGATTTATTATTACATAATCTGAATAATCAACAATATATATGAAGGGCTATTAAAAATGTTCATGCGTCCTCTACGAATGGAAAGAAAGGACGCAGTAAAACTGCTTGGGAAATTGTCAAGGTAATTTCATATTTTTAACTAATTAGATATAAGTGTTTGTATATTGCTAAATTGTAATGCAAATATTATTTAACATTTGTAGGCTCCTCGTAAACCGGATAGTAACCAATGCGGTTTCTTTGTCATGGCGTACATGAAAACTTTAATTGAGAATATGCCAGACTTCGATGATAAAAATTCTATTCAAGAACTGGTATACATTCCATTTTTATTTCGTGTTTAAAATTATTCTGATTTGAATGTTTCATAGTGGAGATATGATGCATTTGAATTGCTTTACTTCACTGTCTACACAGCCACTTTGAGGACACATCTGGTTTTCTAATGAGTTGTTAAGTCTTTATAGATTGTGCTATCATTTCTTCCAACTCAATGTTTGATTGTTTGGAGTGAAAATCTGTTTGTATGTGCATATATAAGTGCATTAGGTGATTATTTAAAATGAGCATATAGTCATGAAATGAAGAATCATGTGAGCTTAACTGTTTGTATGTGCATAAGTGAATCAGTGTGCTTTTCTGATTTGTTGTTCATTGAAATATGGAATTGAATATATATATATATATATATATATATATATATATATATATATATATATATATATATGGTCAGCAATTATTTTCTTGATGCCTTACCTTTTTTGGTGATGAATAATGATAATGCCTCTCTTATCTTTCCTTTTTGGAAGACTGGAAAACATACTGTATCAAGATTACTATATATACACACACATGTAAGGTTCCATTGCAATGCCAAACAATTCTGCATGTGTTTAAATCCATTCACTTTGATGTTACACTTAATTGTATGCTTTGCAAGTTTTCTGTTGTCATGCACTTCTTTTTGGATAATAAGGTGATATATACAAATTAAAGTGTGCTTAATCTTTGTGGTTTGGTGTTAAGTGCCAAAATCCTATCGGCTTATAAACACTCAATTACAAAGATTTGATCTTTTTCATGGAAATATGGCAGAATATAGAAACAAGTCAACCAACTTTAGTATAGAGCCTATTTGACATGATGCTAGTAATTTGGCAAACTGGAGAATAAGTGAACAAGTAATTAAAGAAGAAAATATTCCATGCTTCATCATGGTTTCCCTCTAACCTCCATATAGCCAAATTAAAAAGTGATTAGTCGAAAAATCTAGCCTTTAAAACATGCCATCTCAAGCATTTTGGTTGACTTGATAGTATTTGCATACAGTTAAAGAGTTAATTAGGATTCTCATCAATCCAGATTGTCAAGTTTTTGGTTGCAGTGGCATTATATAGAGGATAAAAATGTGTTTTGTTTTGCTTGGGCCTTGAGGAAGAGAAAACTAGAAAGTAGGCAAAGCATGACTGGTAGATTGATAATGCCATCCATCCCACATGGTAGTTGCCAATTGGGAGCATTTGTATTCATATTAGGAAAGTATTGCCAATGCATTGATTTTACTCTACTTGAATAGACTCTAGTATGCCATTTTAGTGTTTCTTGTCTAGCAAGTTGGGAATTATCTAGAAATGAGGAAAGTTGCACCCTGTATTAGTCACTCACTCATCCTTCAAGTCTGCTCTCCTGTATTAGTCAATTAGCAAATTAAACCAGGAAAAAAAGCTTGTCTGTTCCAAAGGCACAAACATGCCAAGTACCTATAGCACTCGGTTCTCATCTAGCTTTTATATACTATAACCTTCCAGATTGGAGAGCTTTCCGAATTTCTCCTAACTTATTTTGCATTTCATTGGAAATTATTTATATCTATACTAATTTATTTTCTTACTTTTTACATGTAGTTTCAACAAGTTGATTATGACAAAGCGGTTATTGATCTGGTGCGTTCTGAATGAGCCGATATTCTATCAAGTCATATATAGTAGGTATGATTTGGTCATTAGAACGTTGTGATCATTTGGACTTGAATTGGTTCGTGGAATTGTTTTTTGTGTAGTGGTATTATGACTTGGATGATAATTAGAATTGGTCATGGAAGTCTTTTGACTTGTTATTTTGAACCTTATTAGCTTGTGCACAATTATGTAACTACCCATTGCCATATATGGTGAATGGATAAATTGTTTTTTTTTATATGATTATAATTTAAGCAGGTGAAAAACGGTTAAAAACCGTTGTCTGTTTTACAATAGACAACAGTTAGAAACCGTTGACTTTTCTACAAAAGACAACAGTTTATGGGTGAGACAAAAGCGATTTCAACAATACACAATAGACAATAGTTTATAACTGTTGTCTTTTAAAGAAAAGACAACAGTTAAAAACCGTTGTCTATGTACGTGACTTTTAACAACACTGGTTTCAACAACGCTTAATAGACAACGGTTAAAAAACCGTTGTCTTTTAAAGAAAAGACAACAGTTAAAAACCGTTGTTTATGTATGTGACTTTTAACAACACCGGTTTCAACAACACTTAATAGACAACGGTTAAAAAACCGTTGTCGTTGGTAGAAAAGACAACGGTTAATAACCGTTCTTTATGTGTGTGACTTTTAACAACACCGGTTTCAAAAACACTTAATAGACAACGGCTAAAAAACCGTTGTCGTTTATAGAAAAGACAATGGGTAATAACCATTGTTTATGTGCGTGACTTTTAACAAAACCTGTTTCAACAACACTTAATAGACAACGGTTAAAAAACTGTTGTTGTTTATAGAAAAGACAACGGTTAATAACCTTTGTCTATGTGTGTGACTTTTAACAACACCGGTTTCAACAACACTTAATAGACAACGGTTAAAAAACCGTTGTCGTTTCTAGAAAAGACAACGGTTATTAACCGTTGTCTATGTGCGTGACTTACAACAACACCGGCTTCAACAACACTTAATAGACAACGATTAAAAAACCGTTGTTGTTTCTAGAAAAGACAACGGTGAAAAAACCGTTGTCTATGCACGGGACTTACAACAACACCGGCTTCAATAGCAGAAATTATACCCCTACGACAACGGTTATTAACCGTTGTCTATGTGCATTTTTATTGTAGTGGCCCTATAAAATTTGGGGCCCTGTGCAGTAGCCCAGCTTGCACAGCCCAAAATCCGACCATGTATATATATATATATATATATATATATATATATATATATATATATATGTTGAATGATCGAAATTGTAATTCTGTACGCAATTAGACCAAGCATTCTATGTTGTATGTTTTTATATATATTCCTATGTGCATATATGTTAGGTAGTGTGTATGTCTAATTTGGATGCAGTATGCCTATAATTGCATGAGTATACATAATATGTATAAATTGGGTACTGGATATGTTTTAATATCTAATAATTATGTTAGTTAGATTTGTTTTAATTTGGACAAAGTGTATTCTGCATTTACATATGTGTATGTCTGTGTGACTATTACACTACGTATAGAGTACAATAATTGGGTGTGAAGTATTGGTACATTGTTTTTGGTTTAGTATTGGTGGGATGATTAGTATTGATGGATTATTTATATTTGGTTCATGGCATCTTAGTTGTTATAATGGTTATAGATTCAGGTGTAAAGTTGAAAGTATTATTTGGGTGGAAAGATTTTGCTTTAGGTGGTGAACTTTTGAGGTTTTAGATATATATATTTTGTCAATGGAAAGTGGTGCCATCTGGTGTTTTTGTAGAATGAGCGGTTGGAATATACCGACTCACTAGCATGCTTAAAAACTCTCTGTTTTGTGGAGTGAGCAGTTGAAATATACTGACTCACTATGGGGTTTATATTAACTTCCCTGTTGTTTTGAGGGGTGAGCAATGGCGTAAAAGCTGACTCACTAGGGAGTCGAGAAAACTCCCTGTTTATGAAAATCTATTTTTGAGAATTTGAAAATCCTCCATTTGGTACCCATTTCTTAATGGCAATTTATATATATCAACTTGTATATATATATATATATATATATATATATATATATATATATATATATTCTGAGATCATTTTGAGAGATTGAAATTATCTCTTTGGTTATTATTTTGAGAGTTTGGAAACTCTATTTGGTTATTATTGAAAATTATCTTTGGTGAATATATTATGATTTGAAGAAACTCTGAGTTGTGATGATGTTATGAAATGTTGATGATGTTATAAAATGTTTTGAGGATATGGTTATATGGAAATGTTGAGGTAATTGTTATGTGATGAATCTTGAGGACAAAATAATTGTGGAATGATTTTGGATTAGAGATAGGCAATGCCTTAGTCGATTTTCTAGAAGTTGTTATGGATATTTTTGTACTTAATGTGTGGTTTCCTCAATATATATATTTTAAATGGTTAAAGTTAAAGATTATTGGCCTTGTTGAGAACGTAAAATGTTTAAGGGGTATATTATGTGCAATTACATGCTCCTATGTGTTATGTGCTATGTGCAAATGTTTTACAGGGTGGAGTAAGTCTTACCAGCTGTTGTATGCTGAATTTGTTCCCTCCTTAGTTACTTTGCAGGTAATGTTACATGAGCATTTGGAGCATGAGAGCAATTGACCTTCTTAGTTTGTGTTTAGAAGTTTTATACCTTTTTAAAAAAATTGAGAAGTTATATTTAGACAATTGTATTTAACGCTTTGAACTAGTATAAATTTTGGGTTGTTTTAGTAGTGTTGTTTTAGCCTGTGCGTTTGGATGAATGTTGTTATCTAAACGTGGCGGTAGCATCCCCTATTCCCTCATTTTGTTTTTAGCTTCCGCAATTTAAACAGTGTTTTATAATTATACAAAAGAAACAAAAAATAAGATTTTCTCAGATTCTGGTTTTGGAAAATGGGGGTGTTACACCCAAGGCTCCTACGAGTGTCGAACTTCACCCGCCCGCTTAATCTGGCCGAGATCTTTGCCGCCTCGTGGGTCATTAGCAGGCACTCTTGTTGATCGACGCTCTCGCTGTTAAGAAAGATGAATTCGACCTCTGCCGATGCCGCTTGGCTTGGCCCTTTGTCGGCCGAGTCGTGTGATGTTTCTCGAGCGCGGGGAGGTGCGTGGTCTTTGGAACCGGATCCGATCGTTTAGGTGGGCATTTCCCGAACGTGTTCGGTCTAGGACTCGCGGCCGCTGGTAGAAGCGCTGTCGCTGTCGTCGTCACTGTCGCTCGAGCTCGACGAGCCTTCTGAGCTCGAAGAGCTGTTCTCTGGCTCGGGAACCGCGCTTCATCGTTCAGCGGCGTTATTAACCTTGGGGGAGGACTCTTCTATCCTCGTTTCTTAGCTACCGTCCTCGATCATGTTGCCATAGTCCGCCCTCGAGATGTTTTGGTTATCTGAGTTTGACATATCCCCTTCATAAAGGAGACGGTCAGTTCAGCAGAAGGAGTCGGGTTATAGCCGACCGAGTTTTGGGTCGATAGGAACAGGTGTTATGTGAAAAGAAGGAAAAGTTGAGTGAAGGAAGAAAGAGAAGACTTACCGATCAGTAGCGTGTGTAGAGTCAGTGAGCAGTTGCAAATTCCGGTCAATCTACAGTGTTGGTGGCTCGGGAAGCTCCGATCAATTTCCACAGTGTAGTAAAAGTAAAGATGAACCTGGAAGGGGCCTATTTATAGGAAAGCTTTTGGCGGGAAAATCATCGACTTGCGTGAAGTGACCGTTCCAGATCTCAAGGCACCTGCAAACTGACACATGGCATGAGCGAGGACAGCTGGATGGTCGGGTCTGGAGGCCCGAGTAACGTAATCTTCTCATCCCACGCCGTTTTCTCCCGAGCAGTCTAAAACGACCCGGGCTGGGGGGGGGGGGGGGGGCTCTTGGTAGGATATATCCCGACCGACCTGAGATGTTCTCCATGTGGGTTAGTACAAGTTCCTTGGCTCGAGCGCTATAGTGAAGGGATGGTCGGTACCGGTCGTCCATGTACCCTTCGTATTGCCCTTCTGTCGAAGACGGTCGGACCCGACAGATGTTCTGCACGACCACCGTACCTTTGTTCTACGGAGAGGCAGTATCTTTTAGAGAGGGGCACGTGGCGATCCTAAGCGTTGACAGAGAGTGCTCACCAGGTTGGGGCACGTGGATTACATGCTGGTAGGCCGGAGGGGTGTTCCTGGCTAGAGGCTATAAATATCCACGGCGGCTAAAGTGAGGGGGACTTTTTGAACGATCAATAGGCTACTTACAGAGCTACCCGATCGTAGTCAGTCGGCCCTCGGAGTAGTCATTTAGATTGTATTAGGTCACCCGTTTATATGAGATAACCTCTTTTGATCATATTATCGTTTGACATCCAGTATGTAGACCGCATACACGTGGACATTAGTACTATCAGACAGTATACTATAAACGCATCATGTTTAGCAATATTCATTGTGTGTTATACTCATAATATTTATTCTATATGTTTATAAACATAAACATTAATATTCATAAACACTAAACTAAATATACATCATATGTATTTACATTCACTCTATAATATGTGATGGATACCTAATATTTGAGTCCAGTTGAACCGCCTAGTCCCGATTGGACCACCTAAACCCGATCAAATTACCTAATTATTACCCATTAATTCCCCTTATTATCTAGCATAAACACTCACTAAACATCCATAACCCCCATTTATTATCCAAATTATTACTCATAAATTCAGCTACTAAAACCCATTTGGCCACCGTTATCCTATTAACTACCCAACAGCTACCCCTACCTAATGACCCATAAAATCACATTTAAACTCAATTAAATGGTGGAGAACCCATTCTACATTTAAAAGGTAGACAAGAATGAAGAGGAGAGGGCATCACATTCATCTTCATCACATGACTCTTCCCGACATACTATTCACCACACTAAGATCACTCTCTCAAAGGGGAAGGACTCTTTCCACACTTTTTCCTCTCAACAAGAAGATCTCATCATCCACACTCTTTCAACAAGAAGATCAAGAAGAAGACTCTATTTCTATGTACAAATTATAAGCTCTACAAAAATACATAACTTATGCACAATACCCAGCAAAATATATAGTGAAGATCTTAGCTATCGAGTTTCTATTTTAATTGACTTGAGCTTATTATCCTTGAATCCCTTTCCTTGGAATCTATTGAGTTATTGGTTTGAAGATTAATTGTTGATGATATATTCTTAGAATCCATCTTTGTTGAGCTATTCCTATGATCTTGATATTGATTATTGATCTTCGAGAGTCATTCTATTTTTTTCCTCGTATGACTCTCATGTTGAATTGAAACCTTGATTCTTGACGTTGAAATTGATTTGCTGGCATAGTGGACAGTGTTGGGCTTATTTGAATTGAATTGGATTGATATTGATTTGTTTGGGAAACCCGGTCAAAACGTATTCTGGGTGTCAGATCTAGTTCTACCTATTGGGGCCTGGAGATCCCAATAAGGGTGTATACACTTGAGGAATTAGAAATTCCTCCATTTGATTTGATTGATTGAGATATTTCGTCCTTGAGAAGACTTGAGCTATCTGGAAGCTCTCCACACTGATCCATTGTTGTTGATTGATTGGTATTGTTGAGATTGATTGTGATTATTGATATTGTTGATGTCCCTATGTGGAGTTGAACTTGAGATTGATATTGTTGATATGCTTGAGATGAGAATTTAACCATACTTGAATTGTACAGTTGTATTACCTATCTATTGAACTCTATATCCTGTTGATACTCTTTTGGAATCTATCTTGTTGATTTGAATCATTCTATTGCGTTGATTATATTCCATCCTATCCTTGAATCGAGTTTAATTGTTGAGTTGAGGAATTACTTTGATTATTCCTCTTGATTGGAGTATTGAACCTTGCATTTGTTGATAACGGGTCTAGTGCCCCTAGAATTGTATATTGTTGATTGAGTATCACTTGTTGAATTCCTTCAGCTAAGTTTGTTAGTATAACATATGTATGTAGTCATACCGTTGCAAAACCTATTTGGAAATATAAAAGTATATCTATATAGTTTTACATTATGAGTGGAGTTACTTAGCATCTCTTGCTAATCTTTTAAAAACATGTTTTCAAGTTTGGAGTAGTCCAGCTTTGAGAGCGCGATAGTTCGAGACTAGCTTCTGCCTTGTAGTTAGATTCCCTAGTTTGACTTTGTTTATTGGCCTGTGAGCCTATGCTAGACTTATACTGTTGAGACTAGTACTTGCTATGTGGTTTTGTTTGAGGTTTTTTTAGACTAGCCTTAGCATTTGGGTTCTGTGTGACCTAAATGTGGCATAGCATTCCCGATTACTTTGAATTAGCCTCCGCAGTTTTTAATTCATACTTAGTTGTTATCTATCTATCTTGCCAGCTTATTGCCTTAAGTTATATTTAGAAATCGGGGGTGTTACATTGTTTATATCATTCTAGAAGTGTGTTAGTGATGTGTTTTAAAAAGTTTTTATTATTGGAATATCCTTAGAGAGTTACCTCTTTACACCAAGTGAGATTGCATAGAAACCATTAGGTTTATATCTTTTGTATGCTTGCATGATATTCACCTCCTATTTTGCTTAGACCTTAGTCAAGGATCTCTCGCAGTGGGAGTGTGTACTCTCCAACCTTGGAAAGATAATAAAAAGCAAGGTCGGAAATGAACCTAATCTTTGTAAGGTATGGGGCAAACGGTGAGCATTGAGAGAAAAATTCCCAAAACCCCGAAAAAGGCATGAGGGAATTGAAGTATTAAATGAAGAATGAGAAAAAGACAAATACCAAGAAAAATGGCCACTCCTAGAGATAAGAAACGAGGTGAGTCATCTCGCTAGGATTTGGGGCAATTCTATTACACTGTCTTCGAAAAAGCGTAGAGCTCTACGTGAAGTCGGTTTCCCTAAGGGCAATGTCCTATGAGATGAGAAGAGAGAGTGGAGGTGAGCCACCTCGCTGGAAACCAGGTACCCATAGCACCGTTCTTCAAAAAGCATGGAGCTCCATGTGAAGTCAGGTCGCTCGGTAACAATTCCGAGAGGATGAGAAGAAAAGAGTGTCCGTCTAAGCCAATTGGCGGGGAGCGGTCCATACCAAACCTTCACTTATTTTAATGTAAAGGACCTTGGCGTTATAAGGTTGGATGTCGGTTGGGATGTGCATATCGTTTTCACTAAGGGGCTCGGCTTGAAGGCCTTTGCAAAATGAGAGGTGAATCCAAATTTGGTTGCATGCTTGACTATGTGTAGAGAGTGTGTTCCCTTTGCTATTTCATTTTATCCTTTTAGGGATTTTTGTTCCTTTTGGATATTCCTTGAGTTGCATTAGTAAAACACATTTCTACCACACTTGTTTTATGATATGAGGATTTCCCCCTCTCCGGTTTCTAAACACACTCATCTTGATGGACCATTAGGTGAACTAAGTTAACATTCAGCTATCTTGAGAAGTTTCTTTGGCACTTACATGATCTTGATTTGATTGAGAGCTTGCTTCAGGAGAAGCAAGAGTTAAAGTGTGGAAACTTGTGATAAGTGCCAAAGACACTTAGTTTTGAGGTCTATTAGGGGT